AGATGACGAGAAGGAAGGAAGAGGTCGAAGAGCGAAGAGTGAAGAGCGAGGAAGCGTCGCAGATGAGGCCGATGAGGAAAAGATGGCGAGAGAGAGCGTGTGGAACAGGAGAAGAGGGCAGGAAGCGTGAGCAGAGCGCGAGAGTGGGAAAGCAGCAAGCAGCAAGGCGGTCGTGACGCAAACGTGCGCCGTGCTTCGAGAAGCGCCGAGCAATGACGCATTCTATTCGTGCTTAGTCGTGCGGCGTGCGTCCGTGGCGTTTCGTGCGGCAGCGAAAGGAGAAGCGGGCAGGTGGGAGGAATGGCAAAGGAGAGGGTTGGCTTACTCACGCTCAAGAATCTGCACGACGTTGGAATTTTGTGGGGCCAAAAGGGGAGGAAAAGGAGGCGTCAGTCTGTCTTTCTCGTTCCCCACTCTGTCTCGCTCGCTCGGCCGCAGAGAGGGGAGAGGAGGAGGCTGTAAAGAAGCGAAGTAGGAAAACGAAGGAGACGCACGTGTTTTCGAGGATCAAGGCGTGGATCTGAGTTTCGAGAGCGAAAAGGGAAGGAGGAGACGCATCAGCGTTGGTCCCGACGGGGAGGAGAGTTGAGGAGATCTGGAGAGCGCGTTGATCTGACGGGGAGCACAAAGAAGCGAAGGCGCGCCACGGCAGAGCGGCTTAAAGCGCGGCAGCGTCTGTTTTCATGCTTTCGCATAGCTACGTCCTCCCTTGCTCTTTCATCTCTCCCGCTTCCGCACGATATACCCAACCCCCTCGCCGCCTCGCTGCCTCCATGCCACGAAACAGGCGCGCAATCTGGACTTGTGCGCAGCCCCCATCTCGCACTCGAAAATGGCCACGCTTGGCATGGCTCCACGTTTTGTTCTTCGCGCGTGCGATGGGCCATAGGCCCTCTTGCCGCAGCTGAAAGAGAGCAAAGCCAACACAAGAGGCTTTCCAGGGGGCACACACAGCTCGTGCGCTCCGCCCTCTCTCGCGTGACATTGCCCCCCCCCTTGTCTAGCTGGGGCCAGCACGTGCGTGCCCTGCGTTGCCCTTGCCCCTCGCGATCTTGCCGCGCCATTTGCTGCAAACGCTCTCTCCGCTCTCGCGCCTCGCCCCACTCACCGACTTGCCGTTTCTGCTGGCCAGATCCACCGCCACTGCGCCGCCAATGCTCTGTCCATACGCGACGATGCGCGTCGCCTTTGTGCGTGCGTCGTTCAGCAGCCAGTCCAGGGCCGTCTGCGCATCAATGCGGATGCCCTTTTCGTTGGGCACGCCCGTGGAGAGGCCGTAGCCGCGATAGGAGAGCATGAAGATGTTGCATGCGTACTTCTTGTAGAAGACTTGAGCCAGGGGCAGGCGATGACCCTGGCCGCGCGAGGTCAGCGGGTGCGTGAGAGGGGGAGAGAGGGGGAGCGCACCATGTTGCCGGCATTGGCGTGCAGAAAGAGCACCGTCGGTCTGCCCTGTTCCTCGCGCGGGATCATGTAGGCCCTGAGTGTCTCGCCGTCGGGCGTGTGGAGCTCGAGTGCCTCGTAGGGCAAGTCATACTCGTCGGGCGTGGCGACGTCGGAGCGCGAGCCGGCGGGGAAGGAGGAGGGGTAGATGAGGGCACACTGGTACGTGTAGAGCAGGCCGGCGGTGAGGAAGAAGCCGGAGAGGAAGAGCGTGGAGCCGTACTTGAGGCACGTGGACAGCGAGGGCAGATAGCCCATCGTGCAGGGCAGGGGATGGTGGTGAGAAGGCAGGGTGATGAGGTGGTCTGTGCGACGCGACCGCGGCGAATACAACGCTCACGCGCAGAAAGCGTAATCGGCATCGGGCGCGCGCCGCGCCGGGCGTCACGCTTGCTTTGACAGGCGCGCCGTGCCAGCCTGCCGCAGGCTGGTCTTGACGTCGCCTCGCCTTGCTTGGCCTTTCCCTCATCACAGCATCAGCCGCTCAGCACGCACCGCCGCATCGCCTCGCAGCAGCAGCCGCCTCGCTGACTGCAGCGCGAGGGGCGGCAGCGGCGGAGGCCTCCTCTGGCCGCTGCCGCCTCCGCAGCACCCGCCGCCGCCGCCGCTCCCTTGCCCCCGCATGCGGCGTGCTTCCAATTCCCACGGCACAGCCTCGCGCTCTCCACGCGGTGTGCCTCCTCTGCCTCCTTCCCCCTCTCCCTCTCCTGCGCGGGTCTCTCCACAGCAGAGCCGCGGTGCTCCATGCCCGCAAAGAGTCCGCAGTCCGCAGCAGCCACGCAGGACAGCACGCATCGCGCCCGCAGCCCGCGCGAGGCACCTCAGGGGACGCTCCGCATGAAAGGTAGCACGAAGCGGCTCAGGCACCGCACGCCGTCGCCGCCGCAGCGCCGCCGCACGCACGCATCCAGCGCAAGACGAGCCGCCGGCCGCATCGCAAGCACACCTCACCAGCCGCCGGATCCCGCCGCCGGCTGCATCGGCGCAGAAGCAGCGAGAGGTAGAGTGCTTCGATGGAAGTGGCGCGGTGGGATCGCCGCTTGGCGCGCATCGCCACGCGGCACTTTGAGGCGAGCACTTCGCCGTCGGTGAAAAGGAGGGGCCTCGAGGCCGGACAGGCTTGCCTCTCTACCACCACCATCCGCCCAGCTTAGGCCACAACACGCGCCGTACGCCAGCGAGCGAGCACAACGCACAGCCTTGCCATGTCGTTCCACGATCCTCACCGCCGGCTCAAGCTCAGTGCGTGATTCGATTGCGCCGTCCGTCTCTCGCTCCGCAGCGGTCAATGACTGACGCTTCTTCTCTCTCGCTCCACCAGCGCTGCTCCTCTCGACCATCCTGCACCTCTGCCTGCTCATCGCTGCAGGCGGCATCGCGCTCAACCTCATCATCGCCGACTTTGAGTATCACTGGGGCAGCAAGAAGTATGGCGACGAGGGCGACACGTATCCCTACGTGCGTAAAAGGGGGGGGGGGGATGTCCTCTCTGCTGCGTCGTCCCTCTAACAGAAAGCTGACCCTCTGGCCGCTCTTCTGCTTCACGCCGCAAACAGCTGGTCCTCATCATCCCATTCTGGCTCTGCTTCCTCTTTTCGCTGCCTCAAATTGCCCTGCTCGCATGGCTGCTCAGGCGCAAGCCGAGCAAGCTGATGGCCACGCTGCTCGCAGTGTCTACCTTCCTCCTGTGCGGACATTCGAGCGCTGCCTTCGTTGGTGGGCTCTTTTGCTGACATCACCTCCGTGCACATCCGAAGCTTCTTCCTCACTCTCCTTGGCGCCGCTCTCATGCAGGCAAACTATCCTCTCGTCTACGACAATCTTCGTGATCGGTGCAACTCGCTCAGAGCCTATGGCACAGGCAGTGCTGATCGCCTCGCAAGCGATCTTTGTCCCATCGTTCGCAAGGCGAAGCCATATGCTAATCGCCAGTACGCCCTCGTCGCTCTCGCTTGGATCGCCGTCGCCGTCGCCAGTTTCATGCTCGGCCTGGTCGGGCTCGTAGGCTGGCGCTTCCGCAAGGCGGGCGTCAAGATGGAGTCTGACTCTGCGCACGCTGGCATCATCGAGCGTGGCGATGCACCTGCCACACAGACGCACAACATCGCTGCCTCAACGCCGGCGGACACCTCGCCTGAGGGCGAGGCGAGCTGCCCCATCCACGCGGCCGACGCCTCGGCGCATGGCTCGACGTCAGTGCACGCAGCTGGCGTCGCGAGTAAGCAGAGCACCATCTCGCCCGCCCCAGCGCCCGCTCTCGCGCATGCTCTCGAGCAATCCGAGCCGTCGACGCATGTGCACGTCAAGGCTTCCCTCGAAGCTGCGCCGCACGAGGGAGGCGCTCAGCTGCCGGCGTACACCGTCGACGCTCCCGCTCATCATGGCGTCGCGACGCTCGACGCTCCCGCTCATCACGGCGTCTCGTGAAAGCCTCTTTCTTGCCACATCTCGAAACATCGCCCTCGTCGTTGCCCCAACACCTTCGCAGAGCGCCCCCTCGAAATGCGCCCACGAGCGCTTCGCCGTGCCTGACACAATGCGCGCTGCCTTGGCTCCCCCCGACGCCCCCCAATCATACCTCTGCCTCATATATCGCCCCTGCTTCTTCGCCCTCACGAAATACTCATGTCTTCTCCTCTCTTACCTGACCGCGTGCGACTCGATGCACGGTCACCTCGCGCGTGGTCAGGATGGGACAAAGCGCAGCGCCTGTGATCTGGCACCGTCGCGCCGTACCACATTGGCTCGCTTCAATCGTGTCCTTTCCTCGCTCCTCCGCTCCTTCCGCGCCGCTTGCTCCGGTCGTGGCGGTGCATCTGCCACGCAAGTCTGGCAGTCTGTCTCCTCGTGCGCCGCGATTCTCCCGCTTCTCCCGTCACGTACGAGCGGGAGGAAGATGTGTATGCGTTCGCTCGCGTATGCGCAAAGAGAAAAATCACGATTGCTCAGGTGTCGACAGAGCGCACTGTTGCCCTCGCACCCGCCGGACTCAGTATGAGCTCGCTCTTGCCCGCTCTATGCTCTCCGTTCCTCCTCCTCTGAACGACAAGCGAGGCTCGCATGGCTTACCTTGCCTTCCTCTCTTCCGCTGATGTAGCGCACGTGCCCTTGTCGACGACGCTCCATCCAAACGCCTTCGCGCCTGCCTTCCAGCTTCGCGCCGTAGCCTTGTCAAGGGTCACTTCATGTTCCGCACTGCTACAGAGCTGTGCCCAGGCGTCTATGGCGGCGCAGCTGCGTTTGCCTCTCAGTGGACAAGGGCGGGAGAGAGATGTGCTTGTGCGTGGGGACGGGACTAAGAGGCGCGAAAGCGCGAGAAGGAGAAAGAGCACGCTGATGTGTTCCTCAGGATACTTGCGCAGACGCAGACAGAGACGTACGGCGGATACATCAACGTCCGAGCTCACACAGCTTGAGCCCGTTTTCGTGCGCTCGAGGCTTCAAAGCGCCAAGCGTGCGTGGTGAGGGAGAGCAGAGAGAGAGAGAGAGGAGGCGCGAGCTTTTGCTACATGAGCAAGATGCTTCGACGAGGCGCTGCGCGCGTTGAGATGAACGGCTGAGGGAGCTTGCTAGACTGAGGCAGCAGCGGGAAGGAGTGCAGGTGTGCCGCAGTGCTTGCTCTGTATGACCCTTCAGAGGAGCTGGCGAAACATGGGTTCGCGCTGCGCACGCTGCGGGATGGGCTCCTTGGAGGGACGGGCCGATGATCGGCATGTATATTCCCCCATTCGCGGCCACTACTTGTGAGCGAAGATGTCTCCAGCGGCGACTCCATGGCCTGCCGTCGGTGTCGGCGCGACAGAGCCAAGAGACACAGCCCTGGCGTGTGTCTCTGCTTCTGGCAAAAGAGCGTCGAGGGCGAGGCGTGGCCATTGTTGCAGCTGTGCTCGACAGCAAACGCACCTGCGGGGCTGGCAAATGTCGGCTCACAATCGAGGTGGGAGACAACAGGCAGCAGACGGGCATTCTACGGCGCTGGTAGGTGGTGCTTCAAGGGTGCAAGCTCCCCGCGTCAGGTGCAAACATGAAACGACTGGCGCACGTTACCACGTTGCGTCGTCGCAGCACGCAGCACGCAGCGCGGTCGATGAACTCTCCTGCGCCTGCCAGAGCACTTACACCCCTTTTTCCCCAGTAAGCACGAGAATATCACACCCATTTGCTCGCTTGAGGGTCCATTGAGCCAGCGCCCACGGCTCGAAAGCCGCCCTGCGGCGCATGCCATCGCCATTCTTAACGAAGCGCCATCGCCCGCGATGAGCAGACACAGCGTGGGAACAGCTCGTGCGAGGCGAGACGCCACCGCCGCCAGACGGCGATTCACGACATCGCGCCTCCGCCGGCCGCTTCCGCATCCCGCCGCCGCTGTGTGGGGGGCACGCTGGCGCTTGGCTCTGCGCCACCACCGCCGCGGCCCTCACCTCACCGCTACCAGCACGCATCAACGAAAGGCGTGCCGAGGCTGCATCAACCGAGAGTGGAGGGCTGGGGGGGGGGGAGAGAAAAGCGCAGGAGAGAATCACAAGTGCGTTGAAGCCCACACGTAACGCAAAGGCGCCCTGCTATTGCTCCTTTCTGGCCCCCCCCCTGTACCACACCCCCCTTCTTGGGCCCTCCAAGTCCCCCCCCGCCGGCCCTGATGCCGCCCCACTCT